TTATTTCACACCTTCATTTATATTATTCTCTACCCCACCCTTTTGTAATTTCTACCCTCATTAACAATGTTGCTAACTTGACCCACGTCCAATTTCTAGTCAACTATGTTACATCATCCGATTAACTTACTTACTTTCAACTGTATTATTCTCTAACCCCACCCTTACTTAATTTTAACCACCACTCATTAACACTGTTGCCAACCTGACCTACTCTGAATTCTACTCAACTGCATTACGTCATCTAATTCACTTAATCAATTCTATTTTCTATCTTAACGTTTGTCTTCAAGCTAAATAATACTTACATTACATAATTATCTAAACTTTATAAATCTAATGTACACACACACAAACAAATTTGTATATATATGCGATTGTACAGCTCAGTGAATGAATTCGCCGAAAAGCGTCTCTTCGCTGAACGCCTTCTTTTCTTTTATATGACTAAATATCCATTTGTCTGTTTGAGGTAAATACCTCTAAGCAGTTCACTGTGATGGTAGTCAAACGATGAGTGAACACGACACCGATGAGACTGTCTAATTTTCTATAAATACGAAGAAATCAAAGGCTGGATTGTTGTTAAATAACACTATAAAGACTTTAAATATTCGGTGTTGCACGCAAACCGTTATTGATTCCTTCCATTTTTGAAAAAGGCGTTGCTGGATATATTAAAACAAGCGTTATCATTGAACAAAAAATGTAAAAAAAAGAGCTCAAAATGTTTGAGTAAACAGAAAAAGACATTAATGAGTTATATTCGGCACAGTTGCATACATGCGAAGCTGAAATATGGTAAATATAGAAAGATTAACTCATTTCTTCTAAAAAATGATTTTTATCAAACAATGTCCTATTTAGCTAGATATATCACGAAACAACAACAAGGTCTGAAGGCTGATACTCGGAAACTCTTAGTCTAATGCTCATGACTTAAAATATTGGCACTAACCTAGTGATAACCAGATGTGAAGATAAAATTGTTCAACTTTATCGTACATACCCTGTCAACTGATCGCTTCTTTTCTAATTTGCTTTCAACATGATCATTAACACAGGTAACTTAATGTCGATATGTGTTTTCTTTATTGTCACGGATTTGGAGTAACCAGTAAACCCTTGACCAACACAAATATAAGTATTCAAGTATTGGTTTGAAGGGATTTGGTTGACTGGTTACAGGGTTTCATCATGAGCTAGTTGGTTAGAGAACCATTGGAAAACCTCGGAGTACTGGACAAATGCTTCGTCCTAGTTTAGGACTCTTCATCAGTACGCACCCACCTCTAGGCTTCGAACCAAGGACCTTCTGGTTGCAAGGCGAGCTCGTAGACCATTAAGCCACTGGGACACGATCCAATGGTCAGCCCATGAATTCTAGCTTCTGCCAATTCACGATATAGCGCAACCGCTGGCCAGTAAGGTGCAGCAGGTCGGGTGTGAGGACAAGTACTCGCCGAAGACATTGGCTAGAGGTGGATTAGCAGAAGTTAAAATTCATGGGCCATTGGATCGGGTCTCAGTGCTTAATGGTCTACCAGCTCGCCTGAAGGTCCCGGTTTTGAACCCCAGTGAGTGCGTACTGATGAAGAGTCTCAAACCAGGACGAGACAGCTGTCCAGTACTCCAAGGTTTTCCACTGGTTCTCTAACCAATGTCAGCTCATGATGAAATCCTGTAACAAATATAAGTGCCTGAGTAAGCACACACTACTACTCGCCTATTAATACATACATTCTGATTTACGTGTGCGAGACATGACTTCTGAAGTTAGAAGACATGAGAAGAATTAGTTTTGCAGGCTTGATAGAGATGTTTATTGCTGTTTCAAGTCGGCAATAATACTGATTGTTTGAAAATGACAGAATATGTGAAGTTTTATCTGTATAAAGTACCGATTACCAAGGCTCATTTAACTATGTAAAAATTTGTAGATAGTTTTCAAGGTGCAAAGGTAGTAGAGCTGGCTAGCTATTCACCAACATGCTTCCATCAACAAGCAAAAGTCCCTTGTTCATCACCTTATTTTCTGTTAAGTTTATTATATCCTCCACTGTACGGTTTGTTTACCTTGTCCTAACTTTGTAACCACTGTTAATGACATCAGACATAAGTTGAGAATACATCTGTGCCATTGTGAATGATTGTAAACATGTTATAGAGTCTTCCACTGTGGATACTGAGCATTGCTAACATCTCAGTTAGATAATCGATATCTTTCTACACAACTTAGATAAACAATTATTGACTTCATGAACTGATGTCGTATTTTGGTATCACTACTACCTAGTCCTACTTCAACTAGCACTAACCATTCAGGAAGGAGGTGGCTAAGCATGCAAATCAACTGTTATAACAACAACGATTAACTGGGCTTCGTGATCTTGTCAATAGACTTACTGTTCTGATCTAAAACTAATGCTTGTCATATTTGTCTACCTAAAAGTGGAACCCATACTCAAATACATGTACTTTTATTTTTCTTAACAACAGTTATCATATTCTGTAACCACAAAGTAGGACAGGGTGATCCGAAGCATGAAACTACAACCTTGGTTTAGATGCATGATAACTAACGATACATAAAAGATAACTACAGTTGGAAACATCAAGCAACCCTTCACATCCACTCAAAAATCAATCAATTACGAACTATTTAACTTCCAAGTGCATGAAGTGGTCAACGCTCAACACAGCACATTATATTTTATAAAACTTTAAAAAGATCAGTTATGCAACGGTGACACAGCGGTAGAACGCTCGCCAACCACGCGTCATGCGGTCCGGGGCTCGATCACCTGCCACGGACGCACTCCTTTACCTTGCTAGGTCAGCAGTAAGCCTGGTAAAGAGGGTAGGTTGGGCATGAGGCTAGCAACCAGGTCACGTAAAAATAAACACCACTGCTACCAAAACCTCGAGCCTCCAGTTTGAAGCCCTATGTTCCACTGGGAACGTAAAGAAATAAAAAAGCATCAGTTACCAATGCATCATAGTTTACTATTTACTTATCTAAGCGTATGTCGTTTCTTGGGGATAGTTCTGAAAAAGGTATTTGTAAAATATGACGATTGTTTAGTGTCTTCTACATGAAGAAGTTAAGACATTCTGGAATAACCCAACCCTTACTCCTACGATTCGTTAACTCGTACATCCTGCCTATTATTCTCTATTGTTCCACCTTAGTTTTTCCAGGGCTACTGAAGAAAGACTATATCTTATTATGTAGGATGCTAAAGGTTGTCAGGAGTGTAAGGAACGTGCCACTTAACCAGCTTGTTAATATTCTGGTCGACAGGCACTTGGACTCATGTGAAAAATAGGCTAAATCCATTCTATCTAACTCACACCACCCTATTCATTCACAACTCTCCCCTTGTATCTCGTCAGGCAGGCAGACCAGAAGGCTATATAGAAAACTATATGCTCGCACTAGCAAGTACAAAGAAAGCATTAGGCGTGATACCTATAACTTATTAAATAGTCAGTAGAACCACAGGATCTCATCTTTCCAACTCATATCATTTATAAGTACAACGTTTTCTTTCTTTACCTTTTCTCTCTCTCTTTTTCTGTTATGTGCTGCTTTGTTTCTCTCTTCCTTACAAACTCTATTTAAAACATTTTTCTTCGTCCTTTTCCACTCTGTATATCTCGACCATTTTGTTACCGCTTACGCCAGTAAATATGCTACCATCTACTTTTCTAATAACTTCAAGCACTCTGTTCACTTTTGGCTTTGCCACCGACATGCTAATAATAAATAATAATAAAATAAATTTTTCCTTCACGTTCCCCTGTGGAACATAGGGCTTCAAGTTAGAGGCTTGAAGTTTCTGTAGCAGTGTTTATTTTACAGGATGAGGTTGCTAGCCTCATGCCCAACCTTTCCTCTTTACCAGTCCCATTACTGGTTTAGCGAGGTAAAGGAGTGCGCCGGCCGGGAATCGATCCCCGGACGATGTGCATGGTCGGCGAGCGTCCTAACCGCTATGCCACCGACGCACGACATGCTAATATGTTGTTGTCAAAACTAACTGAGAATACCCATAATCTATGTAGAATTTTATTTATTGTTAATGTGCACACTGGATACAATACTGTAGTGAAATGCTGAGAATTCCATTCTGCATCAGAAGTACTGTTTTGGAATAAATCAAGTTATTACTATTATTATCAACCAATGCATTCATGACGAAATCTACATTGAAATTAATCCGAATCCCTACAAAAAGCCATAATCTAAATGCCAATCTCCAGCTCATTGATAGCTACTGGACGACGACAGTCGTGAAGCTGCACTGAGAAGTCGTAATCAGTAATCGATGAACCTTCAGTAGTACCAGTCCAAGAAGTACTAATCCCAGGACCCATCTGACTTCACGAACACTACACACCACCACTAGCCATAAAAGCAATTACTAATTAATGCATTGAAATTTAGTTAATAGTTTTATAAATCATTTCTCTGAGCACCTGGTTCCCAACCGATAAGGTCAAGGGTCCGAGTACCACTCTATTTACTTCAGCAAGAACAAACGGGATAGTTCATCAGACCTTCACACGATACTCGTGACTCTTAGCCTAGCAGTGCATGAAAAATCTTTCCCGAATAGGTTGGAAAAAACAACAGAAAACCTTACTAATTTACCATCACAAAGCTATCCACAGAATTATCAGATGGGAAGACAGACAAATGATGAACAAATTCAGCTACTGAACAGCGATATCAATTTTCAGACAATAAAATAACAAAGATCATAAATTCTAATATTCATCTCAAGTGTTAATAAAAATGCGTCACCACCCGATTATATATACGAAAGGTTTGCCAAATTATGACAAGACTACACCACATCGAAACTTCACTTCCGTAGAGCGGTACCGACCGCGCATTGTGATCAGGAACTAATGAAATATACTTACTTACTAGTCTAAGTAACCCGAAATTTTTCGTTAGCAGGCCTCAGAAAATAATCAACTGTGCACTATTAGAAAATCACATACTTTTATTATTATTCATTAATCATTTAAGAAATATACAGAGAATTTTCTTGTTTTGTTTTTTTCTTACGATAAAATAGGCAGCATGGATGGAAACCGGGATTATTTGGTCGGTTTTCATATTTTTTTTAAAAAAAAAATTTGTGTAGAAAATAAAAGCATTGGAAGAATAATAATGTGTGGTGTTGGAACACTATTAAGGATTTTAGCAGTATTTATATTGGTATACACAAACATGTTAAAAAAAAGGAGAGAGAAAATCGGACTGAGAGTCATTCAAGAAAACTAAACAAAAGATACTTAGATAGGTAGGTTAACTTTACAGTTTAAAAATTTTTTTAAAAAAATTAAACAAATAAATGTACAATTTTAACCCCCCACACACATACACATACGCACACAAAAGACTTTGCGTGTGGATTAAAAGACAAATTTGTGAAACAACCACAACAACAACATCAAGAGGGGGTATAGTAAAAAAAAAAGAAAGAGAAAATCCAAAACCCCAGGTTCATCTTAGCCTGAATCAAATGAACTGGAATGTACAAAGCATTCCGATTTATTGAATAGGTATTATTTAAAGAGACAAAATGGGGGTCTTGGAAGTAAAAAAAAGAAGAAGAGAGAATTGGTTCTCAATATATTCAAGTATTGCCACTTGATAACTGAAATATAATAAAATGATGGGCAGACCTCTTTGATTTGTAGAAAAAATCATATCTACAAAAGAAATGGGACAAGAGAGAGAGGAGAAGAAGACAAAAAAGAAAGAAGTGGTTATTCATGTTAAAAAGGTATTTAATTTAAAGATAATTTTGATAATATAAATTTCAATTTATCCGGAAAATTAAATCAAATATCAAACAAAACACGACAATTTCAGGTATAGACTGATGCTCTCTTTTATGAACAAACACTACTAATACAGTCCTACAAGAGGTCAATCGCGAGTCTGAATAGCTCAGTGGTAACGTCTCTGACTGCAGCACTCGCTGGTGACGCGGGTTCAAATCTCAGAAGGGATATGAGTTTCTTCAAGATTGCAGATACGCCTTGCTGATGAGTGCCAACTAGCACAAAACCTATGCCAAGCAAGGCTTCCTGCCGATCGCCTTGAACCATCTAATACCAACATTTTAGAGTGCACCGTAAATGCGAGCCACCTAGCATGGTGGCCACATTGCAAACTTGACTGACAGAATTCAGTCTGCACCGAAGATAGGACTAGACACATTACACTAGTTATTGACTAGTGTGCAATCAAATACAAATACTAGTAATACAGAAAGCACTACTCGAAAAAAAAGATTGGAACGAAGATTATCATGATTATTATGCTATACGGATGACGAATAACTTTCATACAACGTCGAAATAATAAACTACTAAAGAATAAGAGAGAGTAGTATTTAAACATTACGATATTCTGCTTGTTTTCTGAATTACCATTTTGTGGCGTCGAGTAGACAGAGCCTGTTAGATATGACTAAGAAGATATGTGTAGCTCAGGTGGATGATTTTGATGTGGTTGTGTTCTCTGAACTAGCTGGATAGTTAATTTGTGAAGCTTTCATCACCCTACTAGGCGGCGGTATCTTCAGAGCATACGCTTCAATTTCTTGAAGTGAGCTTTTAGATTTCTCCACGGGTTCACTGTTAGTCATCTCTCCTGGTGACGTTGGACATGATTGGTTGTTTTTGTGTGTTTTCATACCTTTTAGGTTACTTGTATTGGAACTGATTGTTTCTTTGACTTGAACTTTCACCCTTTGTGTGTGTGTGTGTGTGTGTGTGAGGTGAACATAAGCTAACCGTGAAAAGACATGATATCCATTCCCTCATATCACTATATACAGACAACCACGGACATCAATTCGACTGGGACAACTAACGTTCAAATATTAGACAGAGGAAAAACCAAGAATCCTGGAGAATTTTTTAGAAGCCTCCCTGGTATTCCAGTGAATCACAATCAATAGACACATCGAGATAGACAAAATTTATCAACTTATAAGAAAGAAACCTCACACACAAAGGGTGAAAGTTCAAGTCAAAGAAACAATCAGTTCCAATACAAGTAACCTAAAAGGTATGAAAACACACAAAAACAACCAATCATGTCCAAGGTCACCAGGAGAGATGACTAACAGTGAACTCGTGGAGATATCTAAAAACTCACTCCAAGAAATTGAAGCATATGCGCTGAAGATGTCGCCGCCTAGTAGGGCGATGAAAGCTTCACAAATTAACTATCCAGCTAGTTCAGAGAACACAACCACATCAAAAAGACAGTCTGTTGTGAGTTAAATATTCTTGGTTTTTAAAGGGAACCATAATGAATTTTCACCTCGAACCAGGTGGACTACAAATAATGGATTTCATAAGAGATATTAAAAGTTTGCCTACAGAGCTAGCTAGTCAGAATTCGACAAGGCTTAGGTTGGTTAGACTCTCTGAGAGAAGTTTTATCCGGACATACTGATGACGAAATAAACGGCCATCCGGTGATTTAAATCACTGTGATCCGGTTAGCAAGGAATTTTGTTTGACATGAAAGCATTCCAGCTAATCATATTAAATAATAGTGTATATCATTGGACAGTCAAAATGATCACGGAACACAAACAAAATATTCTCCGCTTTTTTTTTCTTTAACGTACATCCGGATTCGATAGAAAGTTGTGTGTGTATTTCAATTACTGCTATGCATTCAAAATTCCCGAGAATGGGAATAAACATTTCACAGTAATTATTGAAGATTTAATTGATTGGAGAGTACGTTCTTTTTTCACGTAAACAAATATAATGTTATTTGGTGAGTGGTGACTAGCAATGGAATCCAGGATCCAGGGACATGTCAATTACTATAAACAAATAATATCGTCCGAGAGTGACATGGAGGAGATAGTGCGAGGCGGAGATGAGAGATAATGGGCGACTGTGGACCCGGCTGAAGAGTACGGCACAAAAAAGTGGAAATGTGTTTTTAAAGCCTATGTTCCACTCGGAAACCAAGGGAATAATGATAATAACAATCAAATTCAGTTTTAGATTTTCCCGACGACTGTTTGAATCGAAGTGCTCGGTCTCAGGTTGACATGTCGACTTCTTGTGCAGATGCTTCGACGATATCTGGGCACGTAAGTAGAAGTTAATTGGTGGATGGTGACTAGCAGTGGATTCCAGTGACACTCGATGCACAAGAAGCGACTCCGATTGCCTAGTCGATAATGCTTTAGCGTTTGAAGCGACAAGTGTTCAACTGCAGTCTCAGTAAGAACACACATTCACTCACTGGAAATCCAGGTACATTGGTCTCGAATAGAACGAAATGCGTACAACGGATTCCACTTCTAGTTACTCCCATCCAGCAAATAACACATTAATCCTCAGATAACATCAAAACATCTGTGTTACGAGCCAACATGTCAACAGAGGCTTAACATTTCGATTCAATCAAATCAATAGACGGGAAATAGAAAAAAATTAACACTAAACAGAAACTTGCAGGCGGCGACTCTTTCTTTTATTCCTTCACGTTCCCAGTGGAACATAGGGCTCAAAGCTAGAGGCTTTAAGTTTCTGTAGCAGTGTTAATTTTTACAGGATGGAGTTGCTAGCCTCATGCCCAACCTTTCCACTTTAGCAGTCTTTCTGCTGGCTTAGCGAGGTAAAGGAGTGCGTTCTGTGGCCGGGAGTCGAACCCGGACCATGTGCATGGTTGGCGAGCATCCTAACCACTGTGCCACTGACGCAATGACGGTGACTCTGGTCAGTCACAATAGTAACAAAAATACTTATTTAATTACTTACATTAATACATAGTGGATAAAAAGTCTAAGGTGTAATATGTCTTTGTGGAATAATTTGAGTAGCTGTCGCCAGTTTACTTTCATTAAATGCAGGTTGACAATTAATTCGTTGCATAGCCCGATCACCACCAGCACCACCACTGTTCATCTTTTTTGATTTCCCTGATTTACCATTGATTTGTGAAGGCAATCGTGCAGGTCCACGTCGGACAGTTGATTTATGATCATTTTTTATTTCAAAGGCAATAGAACTCTGAAGAGAAAGGCAAAAGAGTAAAAAAAATAGAAGCTATAAACAGTGAAATCCTGTTTACACAGAAATTTTAAAACGGCGAGTAAGGAGGGTGTGCGACGGTAACATGGAGGTGACCAAGTAAGGAATGCATATAAATGATTGTGAAGCCAATGTTAAAGACAGTAGAGAATAGAGTGAGATGGAGGTATGCCGGTGAAGCCTTATATTCCACCAGGTACCCTAGGGAATAATAACGGTAATAATCTACGAACGTTTTAAGCATTTAGATCCAACTATATGGTTCAGTGTTGTTCTGACCTTGAACATGTCCTTTTGACTTGACCTAAGTCTATTTTCTCACCTCTTAACTCTTTATTAATTTCATATATATTCCTATGACAAGTCCGTGTGTGATCAGATTGTTCGAAATGTGTTGCGCAACTAAACTATATGAATCAGACAGATTACGTCTTCTTATTGCTTTATCTTATCTTTACGTCATATTACATTTATTGTAATGAAACACGATTTCAAGTGTGACTACAATATACTAAGTTCAACTTGATATTTCGCTTCTATCCTGACTACTTTAATGGGAAAGACCAGTTATCGATCATGTTCATAAAAAATTCCCACATGTATAGTATTACACAATACAGCTATTTAAACAGTCTTATTTCTTTTCTATTATGACTGCTTTATTTGTTCAACGTAATAAAAGCAACGAGTATTAAGTTTAATATTTATTGACCAAAATGCTAAAATACTCGCTTAAATAACCTAAAATTTAAGATTCAGCCTTAACAGTATCTATTCACGAAAAAGTTAAACTTTAAGCACCACTAACTACCAATCAGCAAATGGCCTCGAAAACTTCAATCACGTGAAGGAGGCTTTTTTTGTATGGAATACGTATATTTATGAAAAAATTGCACAAAAACTGTAGAAAAGTGTTACAGAGGATACCTTCCTCTCAAATGTGCTAAAAATAGCTCTCAGTTTTAAGTTGGAGTATGAACAGAGTGTAATTCCATTGTGGGTAAAATTTATTTTGATAAAGTCTCATAGTGTTATACAGTAATATTTCCTGAGCAATAAACTGTGCTTGAAACATCATCAGTGAATAGTACTGTATAACATTGTGAAACTATATCAAAATAAATTTCTCCCACAATGGAATTATATTCTATCGCCACAGTGCACAAGTACTATTCTTATATCAATATAGTAATTTAACTACATTCTATGCATGCAGTTATTCAGATCTTCTAACCCTAGCAATAACCTTAATCTTTCCTGAACCTAACCCTAACGTGAAAATATCCCTAAACTAACTGTAATCTAACTCGAACCAACTCTAATGTCACCTTTATTAGATTAACCTAACCATAACTTCCCCTTGGCTTAAACCGTAACTTAATCTTACCCACTCATATGCCGAAACTTGCCAGATATCCCATTTAATAGCATAACACTTCGATGTCTGTCTGTCTGTCTGTTTTCGACATAGAACTTTGCACAAATGTGCACCAGTTCAAGTCGCCACACTCCGTGTAGCACGCGAAGCAAGAGAAAAAAGTACAAGAAAAGCATAATAGAAACAGTGAGCAGAGGTGTGAGGCAAAGGAGTAATAAAGAAAAACAAAACACTTCGATAAGCATATGTTATTGATTTTGACAAAATTATTTGCCAGGTTTCACTAACTTGCTCAGTGAGCCATTTCAGGGTCATTAGTGCGGTCGCACTCCATTGTTGTTCGCTAGTGGTGCTTCAAGTTTAACTTAGCCGGTTAAAGTAACAGACTGAGATTGGTTAGATTATTGATGTACAAAAAATGTACATAGTTAAAGCTTAAATATGAATAGATGGTTACTATACAATTCATAGTAATTCTTTTTCAATCAATACTAGATTGATGATGAGTGTGCAAAACTCTATAGGACACCGACAACTGGTAAATTGAAAAAATCTATATATATATATACATCAATCACAGTAAACATCATTACAAAGATTGTGACTAATGCATATGTTAAGTACTCGGATACCATTCAAAAAAGATTAATAATACACATTGTAGTCCTCATTGTCAGTCGAAGGCGTCATTACAGTTAAAATATGATGGAGATTGACAAAATGCATAGAACTGTGGACAGAAAAGGTTCAAATCAATTCTGGAAGTCAGACAGACTCCTTTTTGGCGGCAATTCTTAAAGTAGACGGATTCTAGGCTATATAATTCAAACAAAAATATGATGTCACACATTCCTTTATTGTGTTTCCAAATCTCTTGGTGGTTTTCGTTAGCCCAGCTGCTGGTGTGAAGTATGAAAACCGACAAGACTAAATCTGTGCTGTGTATATTTATCTGTTTGATATAGAAAGTTTACGATTTTGAGTAAAAATAAACCTTGTCGAAGATAATACAGATACAATGTCACCGAAATGATAATTAGTTGGGGGATTTCATGATGAGCTGACACCAGTTAGACAACCATTAGAAAACCAGCACCGGAGTAATGGACGGCTGTTTCGTCCTAATTTGGGACTTTTCACGGTGCGCACCCACCGGGGTTCGAACGCAGGAGCTTTCAGTTACATGGCGAGCTCGTAGACTATCAAGCTACTGGAATCCATTCCAAACTAGGACGAAACAGACGTCTAGAACTCCCAGGTTTTTCAACGCTTCTCTAACTAATGTAAGCTCATGATGAAAGCCTCCAATCAATCAAACACAATCCCTACAAAACCAAACACTTAATAAATGATAATTGATATAAATTAGCCTGTGTTCATCACTGATGGTATAATCAACTAAAGATGGAATGCCATTTGAAGAACATGGAAAGTGGTCACAGAAACACTGAAATATGTTAGGTCTTGACTGGTTATGCAAATAAAAAACACATTTGTAAGGAGCTGAGAAAAAGTCTATTTAAAAAAAATTAGCTGATGATTTTGGTTGACATATGCTCAGGTTTTTCTAGGTAAATGGTATTCAATGAGAACTCACGAAAATCCTACCTACATATAATTTAGTTTTTTATCAGTAATACATCCTGAGATGTATCTTATCAATTTACCGTGAATGATATAGACAATAAAGAAGGATGAGGACTGAACAGAGATCCATGAAGATATTTCTTTCATTCCTTTGCATTTTGAAGTTTCAGTAGCAGTGCTGTTGTTTTTACAGAGAGACGTTGCTAACGTCATGCCTAACCTTCCCACTCTACCAGAAGATTTAGAAGTACGCCAGTCAAGCGCGCATTCTACCGGTCTGTCTGTCTGTTTTCGACATAGAACTTTCCATCGATGTGCACCAGTTAAAAGTCGCCACACTCCCACCTTGTATCACAAAAACAATAGAAGAAAGTAGAAGTAATGCATAATAGAGACAGTAAACACAAGTGTGAGACATAGGAATAGTAATAACGAAGAACAATATGGTTTCATTTGAAATCATAAGTCACAAGGAGTGGATGCATCTGTGCCAACCAGTCATTGAGAACGATTTTGAGCCATATTACCAATTGTTTCCAACCATTGGTTTTTACCGTCCCGATGACCCCAACCGATCAGGAAGTCTACACCTTCCTATGTGACTGGCTTAGACTAACTGTTGTGGATTTCATTGACTGGTGAGGCCATGTTTTGGTTTGACAGCCGCCAGCTCTTTTCCAGCCTAACCCTATGTCAGCTAGCATTGCCGATTGTCGAGGAAGGCGATCACTAGACAGGAATGCGTAACACACGTCCTAACCATCTCAGTCGATGTAACTTCAAAGCCTCGTCGATTGATTTCCCCTCCCACCTACCTAGCACTCGACCGGTGCCTAACCTCAATATTTCTCACCTTATTATACTACTTCACACGGGAGATGGAATACAGGCATCTATGATCGAAGACAGCTAATCTTTTCCTGTCTTCCACTCTCAATGGCCAGGTCTCACAGCTAGCCATAAAGGAGGACGGAGCGGACTGCTGAGCAGGACACCGGTGAACTACAAGACACTGGTTTAAATTTCCAATCATTCGAAATAGTTTAACTAGAAAATAGCTCTATACAGAAGTAATTTCTTACTCACACTAGATAACATCTAGTATAATAACAATGAAGTTCTAATGTAAACAATTCCAACCTCTAGAATTCCGAAATCATATATACGAAAAATAATTAAACATATCTCCCCTCACGTGCGTATAAATTAAGTCCGACAATTATTCCACACACACACACACACGTAGAAACATACATACACAAACTAATAAATTATACGTATTTAACAATTCTCTTCCCAAATGTTGAACACACATAGATGACAGGAGACATCTAGCATTCTATAGAGCTGACCTTAAGGGGGATATTGTGTTTAGTTATAACGTGTATATATATATATATATATATATATATATCTCACTAAATAAATAAATAAAAGCATACTAAGACAATGAAATCTGATGAGTCTTAGGTCAAATTGTATAGTGGACTTGAACTCACGAAGAAAAAAGAATAATACTATTAATTCATGCCGTAACTGATCTACTCCACACACATACACGTTAAAGATAAGTCAAGGAGATAAATAATTTTATGAAATATGATAAGGGTATGAAATACACAATCCGAGAATAAGTTCAAATCACAATTTACAAATCAGTTAGTATTTTCAGGCATTGGTTTTGTAGGGATTTTTGTTTGATTGCATGGAGGATTTCATCATGAGCTCACATCAGTTAGAGAACCACTGGGAGTACTGGACAGCTGTTTCGTTCTAGCTTGGGACTCTTCAGCATTACTCTTCATCCCGGTGGATGCGTACTGATGAGGAGTCCTAGACTAGGACGAAACAGCTGTCAGGTACTCCCAGCTAGTTTTCCAGTGGTTCTCTAACTGATGTCAGCTCATGATGAAATCCTCCATGCAATCAAATCAGTTAGTAGTTTACAATCTACACAGTTCGGGTGGTAAAATTTCATTGTAGTTTCTTTCCTTTGGAAACCAAGTTAATCCGA